GGCCCGGCTTTCCGGCTTGTCTTCCCCTGAATTTTGTCTTTTGTGCATGTCGAGAGTAGTGGAGCGAGGCGCTACCCGACACGTGGAATTGGCCCAGCTTTCCGGTTTATCTTCCGCTGAATTTTTTTGACCGGCATGTCCAACCGACACTGCCAGAGGGTACCCCTGTAAGCTTCTTTCCTCCTCCAACCGACCACACCCACTTCACAGCAGTTGCCTGCTTTTTTGTGATGTTGATGCACTGTGCTGGGGGGACACAGGCAGACTTCACCTCCGGCTCTCTATAAAGGCGCATTAACGGGCACTCTGCGTACAGTGCGCTGCGATCTGCTTACTGATCGTGGTCGGTCTTTGGGGATCGCAGGCGGGAGCTCCGATAGAAGTGGCGTCGGCTCTCTCTTCTACCACGGCAGTTGCGCCGAGGAGAGGGAGCTCAAGGGGCGACTCCAGGCGAACAGCTCCGGGAGCGGCGAATTGGGGAGGGCAGTATCTGCTGCCATCGCCGGAAGAGCTCATCTGTTGCTGCGCGCGCAGAGACAAGAGCAAGGTGAGGCCAAAGGCGAGCACGAAGAGCATCAGGCACTGTCAGGCTTTTCCAGTCCGTGTCTACGATGGCGGCGATGGTGGTCCTGCTGTTGCTGGGGATTCTCCAGCTTGCCGTTCCTGGACTTGCTCAAAGTCCGCCATCTGGTACGGTAAGGGTCGAGAGCTTGACCTATAGTGGCTCTGGCTGTCCGCCTGGAAGTGCAGAGGGCGCACTCTCCCCCGACGGAATTGGGCTAACTGTACTTTTCGCCCAGTTCAAGGCGCTCACCCCAGGAAGTCCAGATGACCCGGTGAAGAAATGCCAACTGGCCGTCAAGCTGATCTATCCTACTGGGTTCACGTTTACCGTGGAGAGTGTGGCATCAGTAGGGGGCGTCGTGTTCGAAGACGCCGTCAAGGGTTCACTGGAAGTCGGATACTTCTTCCCAGAGTCAGGGACAGTCAGAACCTTGCGAGAGTTGCCGCCTCCCCCGGAAGGCGACTTTCACTTCGACGATGGCTTTTCAACCTTAATCTATGCACCGTGTGGCAGTGAGTCGACCTCGCTCAATGTCTATTCCGAGGTAAAAGTAGTGCCTCCACGCCCGCCGAGCGATAACAACGGCGGCTCGATCGACATCGACAACCAGAGTTTTACTCTGCGCTGGAAGCCGTGCTAAAGGGAATACTCGTCTCTGGCGGCAAATGCAGCGAGATCCACTTGGCCTAACCTGATTTAACCAGCCGTCAACAACAGCGGGGGGCGGTCGTTCGACATCAGCAAGCTACTTGGAGAGAAGCAGACTGAGCGACCGGGAGGGGCTCAGCTTGGAGATGAGTGGATTAATCTATCGGTCCGCAGCTGCATTGTATTGTCCGGGGCGCGTCACTGAGCGTGGTCAGCAAAGAACTTGCGACATCACCGACGCAGGCGATCGGACGTGTGTGTGTACAACAGCACTTCGCTGATGGAGCTCAATAGGAAGCCTAGCCAGTTGTGGAACTGGTCACTCAACGATCATTATAATTATATATAGAGTACGTATTTAATGTCTGGCAGGCGAGCGAGTTTCCGCGTCATGTAATTTCTAAACCTGGAAAAGAATACGCTGGCATCTAGGACTTCCGGTGCTGGGGAAGACCCCAAGCCGAGTGCGAGAACTGTTGCGTAAAGATGAAGTAGACGGCCGTAGCAAACAACAAGGCATACTACTCAGTACTTAGTGCTCTCTCTCTCTCTCTCTCTCTCTCTCTCTCTCTCTCTCTCTCTTTTTTCACTTTTATTCGCTTGCTGGGTTGCTCTTTCCCTTGCTCCATGTGTTCGTGTGTGACGCACATCTTCAGAGTGCGAGTCGACACCCACAGGAGTATCTCGACCGTGGAGGCACGAAGTGCTATATTAGCGTGAATATGATCTCTTCTCGTAAAGGAATATTGTCTTTTCCTATGAATTTCTGGATATGTTCAAGTTCTTGTAATCGGTGCATTGTTCTCCTGTATCAACGTGTTTGCGTGTTCCCCCACAAACTGTCATGATTGGAGTGCGTCTGTGCGTAGCACAAGTTGTTGGTTCCCTTGGAGTGTATGCTTTGCTCTTCCCACCAATTGGTATAAGCCTTTTTTTGTGTTTGCGCGCGCTGGTTCTCGATCTCATGGGGCTACTGTCTCTCAACGCTTTTTTAACGAACAGACACACTTAGCCTTTGTACTCGCTTGTGCTTGAACACCCAGCTAGTAGAAGAGTAAATGGAATTCTCCGCGAGGAATATTTTCGTTTTCTGCAGAAAAGATCAGCACGCGATCTATATTCCTCATTTTCCTTTTTCGTCTTGTATTCTTCCTATTCATTGAATTTCATAGGGAAAAGTTATAGAAGCTCCCCGCGGCAAAACCTTTGTATCCATTTCTCCCCAAAATGGACTTGCTGCATTTCAGGTCCCCCAATAACTTTTCTGTTATTCTTGCTCCCCGGTCTGAGGCCGGTAGGGCCTCAGTCCGGGGTTGAGGCCGCGGGAGCTTGATAACCAAGGCTCACTTCGTATTTCCAGCCGCCAGCCAACCCAGTTGCACGTGGACCATATTCGAGTTCGGTACATTCGAGAGGGCATAGCATAGCAGGTCCGAAAATGACTTCCCGCCATTTTTGCATAGGAGTGTGCCGCAGGTCTGAAAGTGACTTCCCGCCATTTTTGCATTGCGGGCCTTACCGGCCCGGCCCAGTTTTGCATTGCGAGCTCACCTGGGCCCGATTCGAGAAAGATACATCCANTCCCGCCATTTTTGCATTGCGGGCCTTACCGGCCCGGCCCAGTTTTGCATTGCGAGCTCACCTGGGCCCGATTCGAGAAAGATACATCCAAGAAATTGGAAGAAAGATACATCCAAGAAAGTGGAATTGTGCCGCAGGCCGAACGGAAACTTCAAAAAGAGCCAAGCTTATCAGCTTCCGCGGCCTGAGGCCCGGTCTAAGGCCCTACCGGGGAGCAACAATTACAGAGGGGACCTCAAATGCAGAGTGTCCATTTTTGGGGAGATATGGATACAAAGGTTTCACGGCGGGGAGCTTCTATAACTTTTCCCAATTTCATACCTGTATTTACTTCTTAGGAAAATTAGTACAAGCTCTCCTATATGCTGAAATACCCCCCCAGAGATGTGAGAAGATGGCAACACCCCTCTGAAATTTCAAAGGAAAAATTTCCAAAGCTTTTGAAATGCCCTTTTGGATTTAAATCTTTGCGATCTACCCCTGTCAGGTGGAGGTGCATTTTGCCTCTGACAGGTGTATARCACAAACACAGCAACACCGTGCCAASAGTTTAATTCAAGCGAAAGGGCATTTCACAAACTWCTGGAATTTCACATGAACGCCCCTGTGCAAGGATGACAGTCAGAAATCCCGAAATGGTCCAAAATTTTCAAAGGGGAGAGGAAATTCAGAGGGGTTTTCCATTCTACCGACATCTTTTAGCAGGGGCATTTTACCACATAAGCTCCAACTTCTTCACTGTGCAAAGGGTATTTCACAACTTCCTTCCTTTTGATTTCCTGAAGGACTTTTGTATTATTATAAATGAGCCCACCGCCCAAGGCAACAATCAAAACATCAATCAAGTTCCAA